TAGGAATCAGGTCCAAAACATCAGCCAGAAAGTATAAGTACTGAGAAGTGGTCCCCGTCTGCAGAATCACTCCTTGATTTAGAGTGTCTTGCTAATTGCCAATGATTTTAATCTGTTGTCTATTCCATTTGCACAACAGCAGGTGAAAGTGATTGCTTCCTATGATGACAGTTTGATTTCACAGAAATTTGATTTGATTGAAATTATACTGTGTTGTTTATGGGTTCCTATTTATTCATCAGAGAATGAATGACTAAAAGAAAAGATAAGCAACGTCTGACCTTCATTTGATCATTTTCTTTGAGTTTTTATTCATTCACTAACAGAAATAATTTTTAGTCATTCCTATACTTAGATTATCATAATAAGTCTGTCTTTACCTGTTTGGTTTGTATGTCTTTATTAATTACCTTCATATATCATGTTTTTAACTTTAGACCCGTGAAGCTAACCACAGTGGTGATCGGATGTCCGCAGAGAGGAGTAGCAGAACCGCCAGGACGCTGAACCATGTGGCCCTGGGACTTGGCATTGGAAGCCTTATCCTCCTCATCATTTATGTGGCTGTGCTTATGAACGTTGTTGCTAAGCAGTAATTCCTTAATTTCTTATCTTTTCTTTGCATGCTGCTTTTGCATACCTTATTAACGGCATGTTTGAGTTGGTCCCGAGGGCCAATATTCTGCAGGTTTTAGATGAGTCCCTGCTTTAGCTGATTTATATTGATGGCCAGGTAACGGGATTTGCTGAACTGCAATATTCAGAGTGAACTGTGTTGAAGCGGAGAAATATTGAAAACCTGTATGACAGCACCATTGAGGACCGACTTTGGACATGCCTGCCTTTCAATATTGCCAGCTATCGCCTTGGAAAAAGAAGCCATCCTAAAGTTGCTTTTTTTTCCTAATATGTTAAAAAAATATTATCAGTGTGATTGTGATTAATGCTTTGCTACTAATGAATCGGCAGTGAGTTGTAACCCTTCTCCGACATTTTTATTTTTGCATCAAACCAAAGTCTTCTGTTTTTCCCAACAGATCTCTGTTCTCAGACAAAATCAGCATAGCATCTAATATGTAACCAGCTCCGTTAGTACCTCTAGACTGATTTGTACCTGCTCTGTTCAACATAATTTCTCTTATTGGCAGTGGTTTGTTCCTATTCTTTTTTTATATTAACGCATAAACATTTTCTAAATAAAGAAATATGTTAACCATATATACTGTAAATCATGTGTGATGTCTTTCCTCTGTTTATTTATTCAACCTCAGCAAATGTGTACCTTAAAACATAAGTTGTTGGGCTCAGCCATGGATGGGGACATTATACTGCTTCCATCTTCAAACATATTCGATAAAAGGACTCCACTCAGGATCCCCAGATTGGACCTTTTATTTCTCCACTTGCACACAGCCCCTGGAAGAAGGAGTCTGCCTGTTTTTAAACAAAACCACTTTAACAGCCCTCTCTTTCGCTTTTGCCTGTGGTCACCCAGCTGGAAGCTTTTGATCACTGGATGGAGTGAAACTCATTGGCAACACAGACCTTATACCTTCAAATTGGATCCAGAGGTGAGGTTGTGAACGGGTGGAAGAGCACCCAGCATTTATAACGGTAAATAAGAGAAACCATCATTCTTTCTCGGCTTGTTCAGAAAAGATTTGAGTCAGAGTTTTCACCAAAAGAAAAGCAGTTTCAGAAATCTGTTTATGAGCGCCTCTTTTCTGCTGCTCTGAGGTAGCTGGTTTTTGGAACTGCAACTGCTTTATTTCATTGTGCATGTAAAGGTTTCCCCAAAATGGAACGTTCCAAACCATACACCTCCTCTAACTGACCTAGATCACCAGCCACAGTCGGGTAAGCGAACACGCTGCCCTTATCAGACGTATCCCTGATTGCTGCTCTAATGTGTAACCGGCTATCCCTAATGCACTAAATACCAGAAAAGTTACATTAAAGGTGCATGTTTGTGATGTATAACTATACAAAAAAAGGCCAAAAACATTTAATATTGATAAAATAAGGGCATTTACAACAGGCATCCATCCTGAAAGTATATTGATAGTCCTTTTTTTAGCCTCAGTAGAATTCCAGCACCAGGCCAAAGCAGACATAAACAGATGTGGGGATAATTAAGGGGCATTTCCTCTACCAGCTACCATTTTGTTTCTCTTTTTTAAAAAAAAATCCAACAACTTACAGAAAGATTATTGTATTATAGTTAACCTTTTAGGTTTAACTATTTACATACAGTCAAACTCAGCCAAAGCAGGGAACTGGTACTACATGTCCTTACCTTAATTTTAAAGTACTGTAATGGTCTTAAGAATGTTAAACTATTCTGGGCCTGGGGCTAAATGGTTCAAGATGCCAACAACTCTCCTGCTTAATACATCACAGACTTGCTGTCTATATAAATCGCACAGAACTCTCAGGTCTTCTGACTCAAGTCTGCTCTGCATACCACGAACCAAAACAGAGAAACCAGTTTTAGTTAAACTTTTAGTGCTTCATTTACTTGGAGCAAACTCCATTAAGAATATAAAAGTGCTGAAACTAAACTGCTTTAAATCAGTGTTAACGTATTTGTTTAGATTACTCCACTTCAACCTTCTTCAAACGCCAATGAGATTGATGGATTTAGTCATGCTGGAAGGCAAAATTATTGAAAAGGTCATGGAAGTATTGCTCTCCACTATTTACACAGTTGTCTAAGCCCATCTTAGAGTCTATTATGGAGGTCTTCAACAGGGGGTCTGCGACCCCTAGATGGTCCGCAGAGGTACTGCATGGGGGTCGCAAAGGTTTTGGTTGAATACTTTGTTTTTATATATTCCCCATGCTATTTTTTTCTGCTAATTGTCTTTAAATGTCTTTAAATTCACATTAACATGAATTCAACACACTGAAAGAAAACAGATAAATGGAGGTAGACGATGTCTTTCAGTCATTGATGCACACATTCAGCGACACACAGGAGCTCTTTCAAGCTGGGCACCGTTTCACAACACCTGTCCCATCGACTTGGTTACTGCCATTTAGAAACATGGCTTGAACAGGGCCCTGTATTAGGACAGCCAGATATTTGAAAGATTCAAAGTCACCCAAGCTTTAGTAAATGCTTAAACAGAGTAAAGAGTCCTTCCCCCTTTTTAAACAGTCTCTTCTGATGTAGAAATGTGTAATTGGGGGTGCAGTCTCCGGTAAAAAGCCATCTCATTGTGTTGTTGTGGCTATTTCTCTGTTAGACACAAAAAAAAAACAAGATTTTGCTGAGTAATTAAGTTGCCGATTAAAAATTATTTTCCTGACAGAGATCTTTTGTTAAATAAATGCAGTTTGAAACCTGCTAAGCCCAATGGGCCGAGTAACAACCATTAACAAATATTGTAGTGTATGCAGCCCTTATGTGCAGCCACATCCTTCATTTCAGTGATCTTTGCAGTGTTATGTTTTCTCTCTCATGATCATCAAATATCACAATGGTACAGAAGAGGAAAATGACAGATTGGGAGGTTTTGGAGATGATTTGTCAGACCAAAGTCAAAAACAGTTTGCATTGGACGCGGAAGATAAGTTTTGCTGTAACTTTCTATTCCAGCATAGTTACACTACAGTTCAACTGTTTTAAATAACATAACTAAACATAAATAAAGTTGAAAATAATTCTAAATGTGGATCGGTCATAAAAAAAACTGAATCTTAAACTTTTTTTATATATATATTCCCCCCTGCAATTTTTTTCACTATTGTCTTTAAATGTCTTTAAATTCACATTAACATGAATTCAAACACTGAAGTAAACAGATAAATGGAGGCAGAAGATGTCTTTCAGTCATCAATGCACACATTCAGTGACACACAGGAGATCTTTTAAGCTGGGCACCGTTTCATTCACAACACCTGACCCATCAACCAGGAATAACACTTTAATAATCCCAAGGCAAAAATACTTACGTTACATTACACCATATGTAATAGAGTGACTATAGGACCAGTTTGATATAACACTATTTCATACAATATATATAATTAGGGGGTCCCTGCTCCATCTTGCCATCAGTTTGGGACTCTTTGGCCTGGAAAACCGCATTGTATAATATTGTTAGATAGAAGAGGGCTTTTCAAAATGCGAGTCGTGACATGCCTAAGGGTGGGCAGAGCGCTAGACAAAGTATCCACAGACATGGCTTCATGTTACTCTGACAGTCCTAAAACATTCTGACTGTTGGCGGTGAGTACTTGATATTATTTTTTATCAAGGAGGGAGATAACACCATTCCGTAAAACAGAAAAGTCGATTTTTGTCATTGCAAATTTTTTTCAGAGGCGCAAGGCATTTGCAGGCTCCTGCTCTTAGAACAATAATCCCAGCGTTAAGGTATGCACAAACATTTAAACATCACAGGAGGCACAAAAGAAATGGGAGGTGCATTCCAGAAAGCCAGAGATCCATCCCAGTCCTTTATGGTACCATTCCTCCTCAGCTGACCTTGGTGCAGAGGTACACCGTAAATGTTCTCTGACTTCCAACTTTCTAAATACAACCAGTAGAGAAAGTTTAAAAGAATGCTAAAAGAACAGAATACACCTAAGACAAAGTATGGTTGATGTAATATCTTAAGAAAAACAGGGTAAAGTTAACATAGATTAAAATTTTCTATTAAGACTCCTCCCTTTTAAATAGAAGAGTAAAAGAATAAATAAAAGAGAAAATGTTCAAACACATTGAGATATAAAAATCAGAATAAAAAAAATAATCAGTCCAATCTATAAGGTACCTGCACGACCATATAGTTTACTTCCACCTGGCAAGGCTGTTTGATTAAGGGTTAAGACATATGGTTCTGGAGCTGTAGGTCCAGAACCATATGTCTATATATATATATATATATATATACACATATGGATATGGATATCAATTTGCAATGATGGGTGTCAAGGGGTTAATATCACCACTTTCACATTTTAACAGAAGAAACAACCACAGGTATAACCAATACCTGTGCTTGAATGTATGAGGTTATGCAATGCTATCTATTTTTATTTTCTTTTGAATAAATATGGACTTTTTAGAATGTTTTTAACCCTTGGTTACAGTAAAAAAAAAAAAAAAGCAGGTTTTAAAAGTGTAGATCTCTGACTCGTAGAAAGACGGATAGCAGGCAAGCAGTCAACTTCACAGCATTAAAGGTAAGAAAACTCTCTCTTTTGAGACTGAAGCTATAAAGATTTAATTAGGGAACCACAAGGTAGAGGAAATTAAACCAATTACAAACATTTATTATAAATAGCAACTAACTTGGTTTTCATGATATGTTTATTTGTGTAATAACTTATTTTACTGCTTTTTGTGTGGTGGTACAGTTATAATTTGAAGATAATGTGTTGACTTTATCATGTAAAGGGTAATCAATAACTAAACTGTTCTTCTTTAAGCAGGATAGTCAAACAAGAAAGAGAAAACACTGACATACACATCCAAGCAATGTCTCAAGCTCCAGTAAGTCATTCTGAGTTGAAGCTTTTCTTATGAAGAACCATAATTTTGGTCTACATTAGGCATCAAAAGGGGTTTACACCATCGGCGTCGCCAGACCCCATTTACTGGGGCACGTGCCCCAGTATAAATGAGCTGTGCCCCAGTATAAATCTCATGAATATTTGCAACAGTATTACATTTTTTTAATGCATCAATTTAGATAATTCCAACGGGAGGAGACGTATATTTCTACTCAAATGCGCAGCAAGTGTGTTGGTAACTCCAAATTGAGGATGTATTAGCGCCCCCACGTCAGCGCATGTCACTGCATGAACTGCAGGTAAATTAACACGCTGCTCTCAACGGAGTTGGATGGGACACTGTGCGGCCGCGACACATTTTTAGTTCTGGTAATGTTTCTTACCTGTCAATTTTATTATTTTCCCAGTGAAACCACATGATTTATAAGCTACTAACTGAAAATTACTGCATTGATTTGTAGATGGATATCAGGAAATTCCTCACACGAAGCAGAGACAGGGAAGCAGTAAAACAAGATGAGAGAGAGGGAGGTAAGGTCCCGTAATGAATTAGTGATTTAATGTAACCAGTTACATTAGGAACGTTATAAGTAATATGATAGATATTTACATAATTATAAATTTGCGTTTTTTTATGTTTGCTGTAGAGAATGAGAATGAAGGTGCTGGAGTAGGAAAGGGAGGAGGAGGCGAGACTGACAGGCAAGAGACAGGAGAGACAGGTGAAGGACAGGAGAGACAGGACCATGAAGGTGATGAGGGAACAACAACCAGCTTCCACAAACAAGAAGGGGACATTAGTGACTTAGGGGGAAAGCATGATGGTCCTACACAAGTGAAGTTGTCCCACCATCCCCAGCACAAATTTGGAGTAAAAAAACGTTCATTTAATTCAAAATGGTTTGAGCTTTTCCTGGTTAAAAAAGAAAGCCTTGTTATCAAGGATATGCAGTGTGTTTTCAACTTGCTTGATAACATCATATTCCCAACACTAACGCAGGTCATCCAGATCTCCCTCACCATCCCAGTCTACAGCTGGAGGTGTGAAAGGTCATTCAGTGTGTTGAGAAGGATCCACACTTGGCTGAGGTGCACAATGGGATAAGATAGGCTCCATCATCTTGCTATTTTATCAGTTGAAAAGGAAGAACTTTCTAAGCTGAGTCACAAGTGATTGACCACTTTGCAAAAATGATAAATAGGAGGTACACTTTAATGCTCAATAAATAAAATAAAAACTTAGTTCAGGATGAGTTAAACTTTCCCCTGAACTAAAACTCTGTAACCTAGGAATTGATGATTACTTCAGAATGTGTATAAGGAAACTTTTTATTTGTCAAAGTTGGTGATGTCTTATTTTTTATAGCTGCAATGTTGAAAATGTTCATGTTTGTTAAAACAAATATGCTCTTATACTCATTAATATCTCAACTGGTAATTTTGGTAGGAATGTATCAGGGTTGGGCAGTGTGCTTGTCTGTATTTATGTATGGAAGGAGGGGCATATGCACTAGGGGGCCAGTGCCCCAGTAAAGCTTTGTGCCTAGCAACGCCCCTGGTTTACACTATATTCAGTGGTGCCAAATAGTTGATGGATTTTTCGTTTTTGTTCTCTTACAGATGGATATCAGTAATGTGGATGAACAATTATGTGAAGGTCAGCAGCATGTGGAAAACAGAGACCTGGATCAGCTGAATATCTCTGAGAAATCAGGACATCGCTGTGACCACTGTGGAAAGGGTTTTAAGAGCTCTTACTGTCTGAAAAGACACCTGCCTTTCCTCTGCTATGAGTGTGGGAAGCGATTCAGGCAGAGTGGACATTTGGATCAGCATCTATACATTCACACCGGCGAAAAGCCTTTCGTCTGCCATCAGTGTGGGAAAAGCTTTGCTCGTAGATCTTCTCTGAGAACCCATCTACATATCAACACCAGAGTCCCTACATCTGCAGGAGGTGTGGAAAAAGCTTCAGACCATTGAAATCTGTGCAACATCATCTGGAAATTGACACAAGAGAAGAAAATCCTACCATAGCAGAGGCTTCACTTCCTGTTTGGTTCTCATGCTTCTCCTTATCTGAGACCAAAGCTTAACGTCTTTAATAAAATTCACTTGCATTCAAAGATTTTTATATTTCTTCCTTTTGCAGCTATAGTTCTGATAAAAACTTTAAAATGAGTACATATTCCTCCATTTTTAGCTTCCTTTTAATGTCTTCCTGTTAAATCCAGAATTATAATGACCAGCTAATGGAAGACCCAGATTCAACCGAAGCAAGAGACGTTTAAACAGTTTATTGGAATGAAACTGGCGCTGGTTGGGAGAGATTCACCAGAATCAGCAACTGCAACACAGAATACAGGTCAGAGATCCAAAAGACACTAAGACAGGTCCGATAGGGGTCAGGCAGGCAGGTTTACAGGAATACTCACAATAATCTGACACTAGTCACTGGTCTGAGAGCTGGTTATACAGTTAGGTAAGAGAGAAAATCTGATGGAGGCTAAGTGGAAACAGGGCAGAGCTGACAGGTGTGTTGAATCCTGAATCAAACTAGCACTCATGCCAGGAATCATGACAAGAATAGAATTCAAAATCCTCCCTCTCACCTATAAAGCCCTAAACAACCAAGCTCCATTTTATATTAGAAATCTGATTGTTTCTGGTGTTCCAAACACTCACTTCACTCTCAATCTGCAGTGGTTCCTAGAATTTCTAGAGTGGATGTCAGAGACCACATAAATGTAATGGAAGAAGCTCAGTAATCAAGAGAAACGTTACAAAATTAAGAGATTTAATTGTTTTGAATAAAATAATAGAAAATTAAAGTTTAGGTTGAGAATGTATGTTTCTGATTGATTTTAGGCCAGCAGAGAAGGCTTTGAAGGCCCTCACAGCTCACCACTGATATATAGGGATTCACAAATCATAGTTTGCCTTTATATATATATATATATATATATATATATATATATATATATATATATATATATATATATATGTATGTATAAAGGCAAACTATGATTTGTGAATCCCTATAGAGCTAATAATCCAACTTTAAGGGATATTTTTGTACTTTCTGAGGGCCTTAAAAAATATTTTTTGTTCCCAAGTGCTAAATGGTACATATATGTTTTTGTTACGTCCACCAAGGGCACAACATATTTGAGGACACGAGACAAAAGATGAGGGTTCAAAAAAGTTATTTTATTTATCAATTCTCTCCGATTTAGCTTTTCTTGGTTCGGCTTCTTCAGATTTTCTGCGAAGAGAAAAAGAATTAAAGGCCCTCAAATCCCGTGCCCCAAAAAGTAAAAATAGAAACCCAAAGTAACAACAGAAAGTTGGACCTGGCAGGCCGATCAAACAGAATAAAACGGTACAGCAGGGGGCCAACCCTATACAGGGCCGTCGAAGCCCCTACTGGTACCCAGTAGGGGCTTCGACGGCCTAAAGGCTGAAAATAACCTAAGCAAAAGAAAAATCGAAAACAGGACTACCGGTCCCGCCAGGCCATAAACCTCAAGAAAAAAGTAAGAAACAATTAACAAAAATACCGCATGGCAGGCTGGAACGTCCGCTGCAGGCCGCAGCGACAAGACAAGTGCGCACCGTGCACGATGGAACAAATGAAAGCAGGTGGAAAGCGGCGTCCAAACGAAGTTGGAAAGGAACGCCCCAACATGCTGAAAGCCAGCCTATTTATAGGCGGACGACAGCACCACAAATTAACGTAATTAACTCGCTAAAAGAATCCCAAAATATATTAACAAAAGATCCTTCAACTAGACTCTGAATGGGGTCTGAAAAAAAAAAACTCAACCCATTCAGAGAAAAAACGGGACTAGAGTCGCAAGAGTGCGTCGGCCACTACATTGTCTTTACCACGAACATGCTGTATAGAGATGTTAAAGGATTGGAGTCGCAAAGACCAGTTCATCAAGCGGCGGTTTTTATTACGCATGCGAGCCAGAAAAACTAACGGATTATGGTCCGTAAAAACAACCACAGATCCGCTAGAACCTCCAACATACACCTCAAAATGTTCTAAAGCAAGGATCAACGCTAATGCCTCCTTCTCAATGGTGGAATACCATCTCTGATACTTATCCAGTTTCTTAGAAAAATAAGAAACCGGATGTTCCACCCCATCAGTACCATCCTGGAGCAGGACAGCTCCGACACCAGAATCACAAGCGTCCACAGCCAACTTAAATGGTACATCAAAACGAGGGGCAGACAACACAGGAGCATTAACCAGCAAATGCTTAGTTTGCTCAAAAGCAGATTGACACCGATCAGACCAAATAAAAGCTAATTTAGGGCTAAGTAGGTCTGTTAACGGGGCAGCCACAGAGGAAAAGTTTTTACAAAACCCCCTGTAGTAGCCAACCATCGCCAGATAGCGGCGTAGCTCAGTACGAGTGGTGGGTACTGGGACAGATAGAATAGCCTCTACTTTAGCCTCAACGGGGCGCACTTGACCTCCCCCCACCCTTTTTCCAAGATAGGTCACCGTCGCGTGGCCGAATTGGCATTTAGAAAGATTAACCGTCAAATTAGCCTCACTCAGACGCATAAAAACAGTTTTTAAATGGGCAACGTGCTCAGTCCAGGTAGCAGAACAAATCACCACGTCATCCAAATAAGACTCACAGAATGATAAACCCGACAAAACAACATTCATTAGCCGTTGAAACGTCGCTGGGGCGTTATGCATCCCAAAAGCCATCACGGTGTACTGAAGGAAATCATCGGGTGTGACAAAAGCGGAAACTTCCTGGGCTCTCGCCGTTAAGGGCACCTGCCAGTACCCCTTTAGCAGATCCAGCTTCGTAACGAACTGGGCAGCCCCCACATGGTCCACACAATCCTCCATACGAGGGAGTGGATAACAATCCGGCCTAGTCACCCAATTTACCTTCCTGAAGTCCGTACAAAAACGGTCCTCCCCATTGGCTTTAACAGTCAGGAGGCATGGTGAACTCCACGCACTACTGCTGGCAACAGCAAGTCCATGTTCCACCATGTACTCCACCTGCGTCTGCAAACGGCGCCGTTTGTCTGGGTTCACTCTGTACGGGTGTTGTTTAATTGGCTTGGAATCACCAACGTCAATGTCATGGCTGAGCACACGAGTCTGAGTGGGAATATCTGCAAACAGGGACCTATGAGACTGGATCAAATGAACTACATCAGCCTGTTTGGAAAAGTCAAGGTGGGACAACAAGAGAGGCAAGTTCCCCAAAACCGCTGAATTTGGAACCCTCCCTTCAGTAACAGCCGGGGAGAAAATGTCACCTTCAGGTTCAGCACCGGACAGCTCCTCCCGTGCATCTGCAGCTGCCCCGACACCTGCGTCATCTCGTTCACTGGAAACACAACTGATAGATTTATGCAGAGCGGGCGCACGTTCGACGTACGGCTTCAGCATGTTCACGTGACATAAGCGTGAAGTCCGCCTCCGATCAGGAGTAGAGATCAGATAGTCACGATCACCAACCTTTCTCGTGATTGTATAAGGCCCACTATAGCGCGCTTGCAAGCTGGAACCAGGAACCGGAAGTAACGCTAACACTTTCTCCCCAGGCTGAAAAACTCTCAAAACTGCCCTTCTGTCAAACAAGGACTTCATTTTAGCCTGTGCAGTTTTAAGATTCTCTTTAGCAATCTCACACGCACGACTCAACTTCAGCCGGAAATTACTAACATAGTCTAACAAATTCAGGTCAGATTTGTCACACAACCACTTCTCTTTCAACAGCCTTAAAGGGCGCGAACAGTGTGAGCTTATCTGGGTGATAAGCGCTGGAATGACAGTGCTTTATGTCCAATTGACGTAAAACCTGTGCAAAAATTTTAGACATGAAGTTAGACCCCTGGTCAGTCTGCACAACCCGAGGTAAACCAAACAATGAAAAAAACTTTGTCAATGCTTTAACCACTACGGGCGTAGCTATTTTACGCACCGGAAAAACCTCTGGAAAACGAGTAGAGGTGCACATCACCGTCACTAAGAACTTATTCCCCGCTTTGGTTCGAGGCAACGGACCCACACAGTCAACCAATACTCTCTCAAATGGTTCAGTGATGGCTGGGATGGGATACAAAGGAGCAGGAGAAATCGTCTGATTCAGCTTTCCAGATACTTGACAAAAGTGACACGAATTACAGTAGCGCACGACATCGCTCTTCAATCCTGGCCAAAAGAAATGACGCAAAATGCGATCATAGGTCTTTCTGATGCCAAGGTGACCCGCTAACGGATTATCATGTGCCAACCGCAAAATTTCTGAATGATATGGAGATGGAACAACAATCTGCTTCACCACACTCCACTCTTCAACAGGAGACACATTCAAAGGGGTCCATTTACGCATCAGAAGACCATCATCCAAAAAATAGCCAGTAGAAATGGAGCCAGGCTTATCAGTTAATGCATCGCCGAACAATAACTCCAAACTTTTATCATTTTTTTGGAGCTCGATCAACTGCTTCCTAGACCATGACAGTGTATTTACATCCAACATGTCATCCTCCACAGTTTGCTTTAACGGAACATGTTTGGATTCAGCGTTGAACAAAAAACTTCCACTCAAGTCAAACTCATCCTTACTCTCTTCTTGTTGACGTTTAAGTGCTGCACGTGTAACTGCGCATGACGTGAAAACATCTGGGAATTTACGGGCGAGCGCATCTGGACAGTCGCTCAACACCGGAACAGGTGTAACATCTGGGGTAACCAATACCCGACCCCCAGCCAAGTCGTTGCCCATGATCATGGAGACGCCCGCTATTGGAAAACTAGGACGCACCCCAACCACAGCGTCACCAGACCACAGCTCAGACTGGATCATGATTTTATGCAGAGGAACGCAGATGTCTTGCATGCCAAAGCCACGCACTGGAACATCAGAACCAATCGCAGTGTCGTTATTCAACGGCAAGATTCCCTCCATGATAAAAGATTGAGAGGCAGCAGTGTCTCGCAATATTTTTACAGGGATCTTTTCACCAGTTAGAGACAAAGAAACAAACCCATCCATAATGAAAGGCTTAAAATCAGCATACTCGCAAGGCTGTGTTGAAAGTGAATGAGCATCGCCTTTCACA